AATTAAGAATTTGTAAGAGTGTAAATAGAAAAATGCAAACTAAAATCAGCTGTCTTACCAATGCATCTTGAACCTCATTTTCTGAAAAGCCACAGAAAGATTCATCATCAGAGGCTTCATGAAAAATTTTTGCCAGTTCTTCTCCAATATCCGACCTAAATTTGCGTTTCTATGAAGAATAAAATATCCTTTAACTGAAGTTGTACAGAAAATTATTCACATTTACAAGTGCAGTATAAGCAAATAGCTTTTTTTAATAAGGAAAAAAAATAGTTAAGGCATTTAACAAGGGGTTTCAGAACCAAAGTTGCAAATTACCAGGCAGGTTAGGTGACATTTCAAAGGCTAGAAATAATAGCTAATCTGTTTCCAAAAATTACCACCTAGAAGCACAAGTGAAGAGTGAAATGAAATTACAGCATATAGCATGGATTTATAACTACTATACAAAAACATAAGCAAAGCAAGTAGTTTTAATTGTTCACCAAACATTTACTAGTTTTACCAGATTTACATTTTTGCAAGCTTTACTAGTACTGCACATACAGTTTTATTTGTTCTTGTATTGTACTTACTGTGTTTGCAAAATTATCAGAACCAAAACTGTCACAACTGTCATCAGAGGATGAGGATGTTTCCATGGGAATCAGTTTTGTATTTCGGAAGGCTGTGAAGTTTTTCTTTCCCGAACAACCTCGGCGCTGCAAAATGACAACGGTAACACCATTAAGAAGAGACCTACTGTAGCATACTAGCTTTTAAGAATATCCTTCTATTGAAGTTTAGATGGTTTGAACATTTTAGGATGTTTAACAATCTTGAATGCAAGTCAGCATAACTAACATCAGCTTTGAAATAAATCCCAAAGTTAGAAATGGGAATGGGTTTTTACTCTGATACAGTTCTGATCACTGTTACAGATGAGTTTTGTTCAGTATTTAAGAACACTTCTTTTGTGCAAACAGACAAGTGGAAATATACACACAAATCATGTCTTCATAGACAGTGACAGAAAAAAGTGCAAGCACATGAACAGTGCCTAGAGATCTGCTTTGATTTATTGCTTTCAGTTTGAGACAAACGCTATACACTGCAGCTGTTCAGGAAGGGCCAACGGATCATACCCACAAGTGATCTGAAACAACTATTCTAGACACAGCAGCTTGCTGTTTTGGTCGTTTTGCCACCGTTTGAAAGATCCTTTTTGATAGGCTTCAGTTTTTCCTTTCCCAGGGAATATTTCTCCTGGCAATGACCCATTTTATCTCCCGAGATTATCATCGACCCAAAGGCCAAGGCGGCAGCACCCACAAGCGCTACCGCTCCACGGGCCCACCGAAAGGGCCAAACTCTGTATAAAGAGGGCTTAAACAGTAACCACCCAGGGGAACTCCGAGCTCTCCGTCCTCTCCCAACACCGCTCTGCTCGCGGATTTTCGGCTCAGTTTCGCCGGCGCTGCCGAGGCACAGCACGGCGGCCAGGCCTGGCCCCACACACAAAAGAGGCGGCTCCTGGTGTCTCCCGCCGCGGCCGAGGGAGTGCCCAGCCGGAGAGATCCCCAGCGGCGGGCCGCCCGGCACCTGACGGCCTCGGGCACGGTGCAGCCCAGCCCAGACACCGATGTACGGCCACTAGATAGACACTAGATAGACACGCCCGTCCCCTTAGGGCGCGGCCCTTCACGCCCGCCAGGGCAGCGGGCGGCTTTTCCCGCCTCCCGCTAAGATGGTGCCGTCCCGCACACACGCGGCCGGGCCGCCCGCCCGCCTCTGCACCGCCCCCTCCGCCCGCCGTCTCTGCCGCGCCCCAGCCCTAAGGCCACACCGCCGTCCTACGGCCGCCCCCGCGCCCTCGGCCCTGGGGAGGCGGGCAGGTGCGGGGGCACTGGCCGCATGGCGCCGGGCCGCCAGCCCGACTCCGAGCGCAGCTCCTACGGCGCGTCCTCTACCCCCAGTCAGGCGCACAAGGGCACCGCCATGCGCGGGGCAAGGGGAGCTCCAGCACCGCGGCGGGGCAGGACGCCCGAGGCTGCCGGCCCGCGTGGAGGGGCTGCCCACACGCCGCTCTCCCCGGGGTGCCCAGCCCAAAGAGTCTCCCAGCCCAAAGAGCCTCCCCGCCGATCCCGCCAGCCTCCCGCAAGCTTAGCCTGACTTGCCCCGGTTCGCAACACCCCGCAAGGTCCCGGGAGAGCGCGGCTGCAAGCGCCACAGCCTTCCCTCTTCCTGCAGCAGCAGCAGCGACCCGCAGCCGTGCGGCGGTGCGGGCGGGCAGCCTCACCTGCGGGCGCGGCGGAGCCATGCTGGTGGCGGCGGGGCGAGCTCGGGGAACTGAAGGTTCGCGCCAAAGCGGCCAGGACCGCGGGGGGCGGGGCCCGGCGGCGCCTTTCCCGCGTTGCCGCCCGCGTCCTGGCAGATACAACTGTCAACCCACCGGGATCGGGCACCCGGCGTGATCGCCTCGTGCTCGTCCCCCAACCCCTACTGAGGAGCTCGTCAGGTCTCCCGGGACGTCCCCGGAGGGGCCAGTGCGGAGATCCATTTCTTTTTCCTATTCGCGGTGTGGGGTTTGTGGAGCTGCAAGGGCCTGGCCCTGTGGCGCGAAAAGCTCCCTGCCGGAACGCCGCGGGTGCCGGAGGGGCGGGGGACGGGGGGGGCAAGTTGGGGGCTGGGCCCAGGCCCGCCCCGCCGGGTCCTCTAATTTTATTTTCTTTTAAAATTAATTTTATATACCAAACGTGGATTGGTTTTCACCACTCTGAAATAAACCCCCCATACCTGCCAGTTTCAGGGGCAGCGGGGGCTTCTCCATGCAGGAAAGGCAAGGTCCTCTGTCCTAGCTGCCCTTTGGTAGTACAGCAGTGCAACAGAATTTCGCGAAGTTGGCTGCCTTGCCCTTTGTAAACAAAGTACTTTCTGAAGAGGAAAATAGATCGATGATTTTAAAGCATTTTAGGTAACATTTATAATAGCACATTAAATCAAGTGCAGCCATTAAACGCAGCAAAATAACTGCTACTTGGCATTTGGCAGCAAGAGTAATGGGAGAAGCCCTGAAGAAGCTGTATGGGATTTGTGGCTCTGGTGTTTGTTATAATCCTCTGTTTATCCCGCAGTTTGAGCAGGGCTCAATACCAGGGCAACTGTTGCTGCTGAGCATTTCCAGGTGTCTTCCTGCCAGCAGGTGAGTCCCCACTGCAATCAGCAGGAGGGAGGAGGCCCCATGAGCGTGCAGCCCACACACAAACCTGTGCCCGTGTAAGGCAAACCACGGATCATCTCTAAAGCCAAAGCCTGTAAATAGGCTATAGCACAATAGAGTACAAGAGCTCTGGCGGAGGTGTTCTGTTTTCTGTGGGCATTATTCTTCCTGCACATGCTGCAATCTGTCATGTAAAAGAATCTCCATTTTAAATAAGCCCATAATTACATACTTACCTGCACCGCTGGCTTCTCAGCACATGCACAAAGGCAGATGAACTAAACCAGTTCTCCAGAGACCTGACCACACTCCATTCTTCTAAATCCACATTAGTGGAGGATTTCCACCCAGCCGGTTTCCAAACAACACAGCTCAGTTGGGAAGAGCGGGGTGTTTTTTGAATTTTGATATAGTTTTACTTCTTTCAGAAAAAGAAATCTACCAATACTAGTTTACTTACATGGAAGAAGAGATCCAGTTTATCAACAGTAACAGCCTTAACATTTTGAATCACTATTATCAGAATTTTCTAGAAAAGCAGCCAACCTTCACAGGTTTTAAGAGCATCATATGAAATGTTATGGAGCACTGATGGTACTAGCTGAAGCAAAACTTCAGACTGCAGTTAATTTTCCATTTAATGCTTAATGCAAACAGCATTCTTTGAATCTTCAAATGACGTATGTAGTCAAATGTTAAAATTAATAGGCTAGAGCAGGGACTTTGTGGTGAATCTGGACAGGACATTTTGTGAAGTGTATTTTCAGCTCTTTTTCTAATGTGTGAAAAATAATTATTTTATTGAATATTGTGTATGTCAGCTCATACTCTACAGAGGACTGGGGAGAAGGGAGCAGGAAAGGGAAAAGAGAAATTGGAAGTATGTGAAAGGCAAGGGCTTCTCTTCCTACAGCACACAGCAAGGGTACAAGAAAATTAAGGTCTGTAACTCAGGTGATGGCTGTTGTGACCTGTGCCACTGTGATTTCTCCTGCTTTCATCTTCATGCCCTTCATGCCCCTGCTCTGCCCTGCAGGGCCCAGATGCCCTCAGTGGATGGTCAGAACAAACTTACCAACTGGCTTTACCATGATGGAAAAAGTTTCCCTGTGTTTGTCAAGACATAGGCAGCACCACTGTCCTACATCTAGCTATTAACAATAACTGAAGAACTGCAAAGAGTGAGCATTTCATTTTCAGCCACACTTAAATTAGGCTAATGTGAGTAGAAGAAAACATCTCTGCTTGTTCAGTCCCCAGTCTGGGGCCTGCATGGCCTGTCCGGTGCTGCCAGGGAGCTCACTCCTCAGGGCTCACGTGCCAGCAAAGATCATCTAGAGTATTTTATGAGGTGTTTCCAAGAAAATAGCCTGTAAAGTTCTCATCTGTCCTTGAAATGAGTTGTCTGTGCATGGTAGCGGCCCTTGGAAGATGTGCTAAGGGAATGGGCTGAAATTACAGAGAGACATGCAGTAGATTGAGTGTGCAACAGTTTCTGCATCCATGTGGGGGAATCAAAGTTGTTAACATATTAGGAGCTTCAAGCAGTAGCAAGAACATGGAGCTCCAACAATAGCTCCATCGTCAGAAAAAATAAATGTGACCTTTGGTCTGCTGGGACGAAGGACAAGCGCTCTCCTCCATGTCACCCCGCAGATTTTGGCTGTTGGCATTGTAACACAGCTTTTCTCTCTGAAGGCAGGACTCCTGCTGCCCCATCCCTGGCTCTCCTACACACTTCCTATCTTAACTATGGACAACACACTTTATACTTCTCTCCCCCTTTTTTTTTTTTTTCAAATTGGAGCAGTACATTTTTACCTGCTGTCGTGAATGAGTGTTTTAGGATACTCAGAGAATCACCGGCAAAGGTATCGGCAAAAGCAGGTTTAATACAAAAGTGAAAGCATAACAAAGTTCATTGGCAATCTTCTACTTACTTGATGGTTAAAGGACACAGAGAAAAATTGTACTGAAATCTAACATCAATCAATCTAAAACTAAAATCAACCAAAAATTATCTACATGGAAAAAGGCTAAGGATGAGAAAGGCTAAGGATAAAAAGGAATAAGGGAGACGTTCCCGTTGAGTCACAAGGTTCAGAGTAGTTTGACCTCCTTGACAAACTTAGCCCCAGACTTGAACAATGGTTTAGGCCTAAAAGTTTTTAAAAGCACTTAAACTTAACAGCACTTAATTGATAGCTTAATGTACACAATTTGACAAAAGATTCTTACAGAATTTTCTATAGCACAACAGCAACTCAATTATAGGCCTAACTTCCTTATGAATCTAAAATACTTAAGAATCTAGGAGAGCAACATTCATACATTTGCTATAGCATATTCACACACACACACACAGACCTAAATGTATGTACAAGGTTTGTACATACACTTGAAAAATTCCCCTCGAATTTAGTGAAGTACTCATTTCAGATGCCTGTGCATCTTCTCAATAGGTTGAGCCTTGAGGAGTGGGGGTGTCAGCCCAGGCTCCATTGTTGGTGTTCGGTGGTGGTCCTCCAAGTACAGCAAACTTGAGCGTACTCTGGCTCTGAGAGGCATCTCACTCAGAGGGACATGCTGGTCGCAGCCCACTGTGGTCCAGGAGGGCTCAAAGAGTCTCACTTAGGACTGCTGTTTATAGGGTTGCAAGACAGTTGGCTTTAATCATAGTAATTTTTCATCCTGGCCTCAATTTGGGTCAGTACTTTTCTTTGCAAGTCTGACAACAAAAAATATTATTTCAGTTGGGTTGTTATTCAGGCAAGAAAAGTCATTTTTCAAGTCTGTTCTTTAAAAACTCGGAGCTCACTAGATAGCATAAGCTCCTGGGAGCAGACAGGGTTTCTGACAAGCTCAACAGAAGCTAAGCCCAGTTGCTGTTCGTCAAGGCTGAGGCCTAATGAGTATTTCAGAGATCATAGCACGGCCCAAGGGTGGGGATGTACCACTACACCTGCCTAAAAGAGCATCTGGGTACATTAGTTAATGTTTGTGTGATGCTAGTAATTATTGTGATGAGACTTGCACAGGCACATATTTATAGAAGAAGCATTTCAGAGGAAAGAGAGAGTTTGGATTCTCCTGGCCGCAGAGCACTTGTGGCACAATGCAATAACCTGTATCTTAGCTCCATAGAAAAGAATAAGATTGCAGCCACTAATGACAGTAATTAAAAATTTCTGTAAGAGCTGTCCAATCACCTCTTCAATTGCTCTATCTGAGCAAATTATAGTGTGTTATTGAAACCATTAGTGCAATAAAATGAAGCTAAAAACATTTTGCATTAAAATAATCAGACATTGATGTATGACGTAAATTGTAAATCGGTAACCTATAACACACACTAATTGTTTTTCTCTCTCCTGTAAGGTGTGTTTCTTGAAAAGATCTGATCAGGCATATCTACTTGTTCACATGTCACCCTCCAGTGGCTCACACTGCTATACAAGACATAATAAGGTGTATAATCAGGTAACCTGCTATTGATTGCAACCCAGAAAGGACACACTTGTTCTTATACAGAAGCAGGAGGATGGCCACTTTTGAAGATTTAATTATAGTTAGATGTCTACATGTTTGCTGGATGTGAATTTTTATGGAGTACCTTTTTAATGTAAATACTTCAACACTCTGCTCTGATAGGTAAAATCAGATTTTGTAAAATAAATTAAATTTAAATATTTATAGTGTACAATCAGTTTATATAGTAAACAAATCAGTTTATAGTAAGACCAATTGTACCAGCTCCACAAAATACCTCCCCAATGCAATTAGTGTATTTTTCCCTTTTTTGTCTCTCCAAGGAGAAATAGATTTTCTTCTTTTAATTTGTCAGATTTTTATCTCCTTGTGCTTTGCTGTAACTTCCTTATTAGTAAAGGCTGAGTGCAAATGCATCCTGCATGTTGAATTGAAGGTGGTCATGTCTGATACTATTTGATACTATGTTTCTTTGACACTGGCAAGACCATAAAAATGAAAAAGTAAGAGTAGGAAAACTAGAGGAATAATACAGTTCAGTGAGAGAAAAAGTGTGATTGATACTGTATTCCTCAGTGCACTAAGAGAATGGATGAAATGTGGTCAGTTTCAATAGAAACCTTAATGATTATTCCAAGTATAAGTTGTAGCAGATCATTTGGAGCCCAGAGAATTATGATGCACATTGTGGGAGTTTAATTATAATGCTCATTTGAGTATCCTGTAGTCATTCCACAAAACGCATAGCAAAAAATGTTGATCAAAAGTAGCTGTTGTTGATATGCAGTGGGCACTTTTAAAAGCTCGGGATTCCAGCCCTTTCATTGTTTTTGATTTATAATTCCCTTTGAAAACACAAATTACATTTAGTAATATCATAAAGAAATCACAACATATTCTGCAAATGTATAGCTGTGGGAAACAGGAGGCTATCAGAAAATAATCAAAAATACTTACTGTAGTCTAGGTTTTTTGCCTGTTATACAAGCTTTGCCACTGACGCTTTGGAAATGTTGATTTGCATCGCCTCCACCAGCCCTCAACAAAATGTGGTTGCTGGGAGAGGGTGGGAGTGGGGGGAGTGGGGGGACAAGCGGTGGCACGACCTTCTCCCCAGGGATCACTCTCCTGGCAGCTCTCTCAGAAGGAACAAAGTGGGAGGGGCAGGTAGAAAGCCTCCCTCAAGGCTTGCTACTACCTGCCACAGAGTCCCCAGGGCACATCTCAAGTTTTCAGGCCCTTGGATTTTTTCATAGCATGAGGGAAATGCCCTCTCTGCTGCAGGAAGCCCTCACCTTGCTTGCCAAGTGTATATGTTGAGGCCCAGATATATTAAGCCACTTCATTCCACATAGCGCAGGGTTCACGCCTGCCGCCCGTCAGAACCTGCCAAACCGCCTCATGAAATTTCCTGGAAGAGGCTCCGACCCTCGGGCAGGGGGTGGCAGAGGCAGGAGCAGTGGGCTGCAGCTGCTGTGCGCTGGGGGGAGTGTAGTGGTGCTGGAGTGGGAGCTGCAGGGAAAGGCTGCACCCTCTAGCCCCAGCTCTCATTTTTCCCAATCGGTCACTGCCTCTCAGCACCATTCCTCTGTCCTCTGAGATGTTAATCTCAAATGCCCTGTATTTACATGTACTCAAGTGTGATCTTGGCAGACCCTTATTAGTATTATTGCTGTAATAGACTTCTCCTCTCTAACCTCTAACTTCTTGCAACAAACTAGCTCGAACTGCTACGCTTTGGCAATTCATTAGATAAGAATATTGTGTAAAAACCCTTCTATGGTGGACACATACAGAAAATAATTCTGTCAGATGTAATTTTCAGAGGTAGCACAGCTATTTGGTTCCATTTTAGTGACATTAGATGTCAGGGGGTCTCTTAGTTTGGGGTTTTGCCACAGTTTCATAAGCCACTGCCCGTCTTTCCCAGCCTAAAGTAATAATTATAATTATTATTGTTATGTCAAAGTGCATTCTATAGCACAATCAAAAAAATCAATTGCATATAGTTGATGCCCAGTCCAGTGTTCTTGGCAGCAAGCTTGCAAGTTATAGGAAGTCTTGAAATACATGGAGTTTGATCCTCAGTAGCATGGGCTGAGCTAGAGAGGAGGACAGAGGTGAGGGGTGCCCTGCCTGGGGGCTATTGCTCTGAGTGAGGAAGGACAGAGAGTTTAAGCAACCTCTGCTCCTTAAATCAGCTCAGCAAGTTGACAGATTGTGGTCAGCATTCTGTCAGACAAGGCCAACTGCTAGAAAATAATCAGTGGGAGCAGGTAAGATAGAGCAAAACTGCAGTAGCAAATACTTTCTTTAAAAAGTAAACAATGTCCAAAAACACCCATCCACATTTCACACTGATGCCAGCAAGAAAGCAGGTTCTCATGGGGAATTAGCTCAGCCATGGCAGCACTGGGGGGAGGCACAAAGGGGTACTCTCCCCTCCCAGCTGAACAGGAACTGGATTTACTTTCTCTAGCATTTCATGGAAATAAACCAACCAGCAGCAACACCGCCTGTGAAACCTAGCCCTGAGACCCACCATTCCTGGGAGCATAGCAGTGTTTTGTCCACTGGCACGGCATCACTGAGATCTAGGTGTAGATGGGGAGACAGAGGGGCTGCTGGCATTCCCCCTGCTGAAGGTAGGTCTCAGCAACATCAGCGGAGGATAAGCAGGCCCCACAGTCATCCCATCCCACCCAGGCAGTATGACCAGATTTCCCCCAGCACAGAGGTACAGGGAGCCATGGCAGCAGTTGGACAGGCTGAAATCCTGGCAGCTGCGTTCCCCAGTGAAAAGGGGTCAGATGGCCATCTCATCTCCCCTCTCTGATCATTACTTCTATTTATCTTCCTGACAAGCGCAGTGCAGGCATTACATTTTGGTATGTCTGTCGAAATCAATATGAGGCCAAAGTAAGAACTAGAAATGTTGGAAGAGAAAGAGATTACAGTGCTGCCCAAATCAAACACTGAGCTGGGGGAAATTCCTGCCCAGGCCATAAAAAGCAACCCCTGCAGCTCCACTGCCCTGAGATGGATTGACAGTCTGCTCATGTCACAAGGGGTTAGGGTGAGGAACAGCCTGGAGTTGTTTATGATTTTGGGGCCCCTTCGACAGTTCAGTGGGCTGTCACCTCTGTGACAATCAAACTTCTGTGAATTTGCTCTTCCAACTCAGGCAGATGACCTGCTACAGAAGCCCTCTGAGCAGCTCTCCCCCTTTCAGAAAGACCTTTGGCTCTCGAGCAGGTTGCATGTGGGCAGCCCCTCGTGCCCTGGCTGTATGTGAACAAAAGCAGCCTGTGTTCGCAGGTCTGGGCAATGTTTTTGCTCCAAGGAGTCTCACATTCACGTGCTGCCCACTACATTTAGGAGCAGGGTTCCACAGGCACTTGAATTGGCAGCTGGTTCACAGCACATGTCTCTGACCTGCAAGACACAGGGAACAAGTGCCCTGAGAGTGCAGTTGCTTGGCCCCTTCCCTGTGCAGCACCACGACAGGCTGCTGGTCTAGCTGTCAGTCCCTCTATGGAGCAGGTTCCCAGGACACTCACCTCTTACAGCCAGTCCTTCTGATGGTAGTGGCAGGTACACCAGTGCTGCTGGGGAAACTTGTGTACTTAGGAAGACAACATCCACCAGGATCAGACCCAGCTCGGGGACACCTTGCTGAGCTAAAGAAGAATGATTGCTGACCTTAGTGGTAAATGTCTGCTCTCCATCGTCCTCCTGTTTTTCTTTTTTTTTTAAGACATCCTTAGGTATATAGGAAAGACCAAAAAAAAAGGAAAAAAAAGGAAGGAAAAGGGAGGGAGGGAGAGAAGAAGGAAGGAAGGAAGGTTTGTATTTGATTTTGTAAACATTCTCTCCATTGGATGCAAATACTCACTCACTTTGGATGTCCAGTTCTGAATTTGCCTTCATGAGCTCTCTGCTGTTTTTCATCATCCATTCCAGCAGCCGTCTCAGAGCTGGCTTCTTATAATTCAGAGCCTTTTAAACCCTGGAAAAGGAAAATGCAGGTACCTTTTGGGGATTAAGAAAACATCAACATCCATGCAGGTAGAAATGAAGACCAAGAGAAAGGAAAGCCAGAAAAGAGAGGGGCAGTTCTACAGCAGTGATATTTTGTGCCACTTGCAGAGTCACATGGAGGGAGGATGTAGCAGTCGTAGTACTGCCAAGGATACGTGTGTGGATGGAGGGCAGCGTGTCCAGTTCCTAGTGTGCAAATCTAGATATACTGGTACTTAAATATGACTGGCTTTAACAGACTTCTAAGAAAACCCTAAGTAAACATAGCATGGCTCCTTTCCAAAGAGAATTTGCTGCAGTGTTGTTGCCCAAGACAGTCTGGTTTTTTGACCTTGCTGTGCATGGTCTTCTAGGTGCATGTTGGCAAAACATGAACAAAAATAGCTCAGCTTCATAAAGTACTGGGGGGTGAAAATGTAAGCACATTTTTATTTATAATTAATTAGCACCAAGATAGGGAGTAGCCACATTAAGAGTGACAAAAACAAGATGGAAAACTAGATCTTGCTGAGACTTTTTTTTTTGACAAGTTCACTGACTGTGGCTTTAACCAGCAATGCTGGTGCAGCAAAAGGATTTCTAATCAGCCACTAATGTATGATTGTTTAATTTTAACAGGCATGATCAATACCATCCATTCCTTCTTTAAATGCTAATGAACACTGTAATACAACAGATGTGGACAAACAGTACATTGCAGATTAAAATTAGGCAAGGCATTAAATTGCTTGCAAACAGTAGAGGAATCCTGCTGGACATCTTGACAAACAATCACAGGCAGCTGATAAATCTTAAATTGCCACCACCAGTCCACAGTATCTCAGGCTTGTACAACTACTGATCACCCTAGAAGAGAAAGGTACCCTTCCAAACTCTTGCAATTTCTTTCTCAGGACTTGTGCAGGCCCAACTGTGAATTATGAGATGCATATGCAAATTTTAATAACACGAGTACATTTCTAGCAAGAACTCTCAGGTGCAGTTACTATTAGTTGGTATCCTCCAGCCCATTTTGATCACGGTAAGAAATGTCAGGGAAGGATCACCAATCTAGATAAAATCCCAGTCCCCTGCTAACTTGTGACAGAGTAACATCCAGTGCTAATTTGTCCACATCCCCCAGATTAGTTGGCAGGCTCAGTAAACCAGGGCCAGAAGATGGATTACTAACTAGCTTTCAACCAGTTTGAAGCCACAGGAAAGCGGCAAACTTTGTTACCACAGGGCTTCTGGTGCAACCGAATTCACTTTAAGGTAAAGCTTCTGTTTGTTCTGCTCTTAACTGCTGTCAGAGGAAAAGGTGCTTGAATGACAGAGCTCCAATTCCTGACACCTGGTATCACTTGTGTCCTGTTCCATTGTTTTTGGTGGACTGTGTCCTAAATTCATGAAATGTAAGTCCCAGTTCACTCTAGTAGGTATTGGAAACTCACCACAGGGCTCAGTCCTCACTGGGGCTGGTGGCAATCAGAGGGAGGAGAGCTGCATGTACCCCAGGAGTGACCTTTGTGTGGAGCAGGGAATCTACATGTCCTTTCAAATGTGCAGTGACAGGGCTATGACGACAGCTCCCTCACCCTGAGTGGGTGATGTGCCAGCAGCTTTGCCAGCATTGCTCACAACTGTGTGCCAGCAAGTACCACCTGGGACGGATGGTAGGTAGCACCTTGTTCAAAGGCATCTCTAATTTACAGTTTCTTGGCTTTCAGAGGGTACCATGCATTGCTTTGGGTTCAGCTTCCTTTATCTGTTTCTTCCTTTTTTTCTCTCTTGCATCTTGTGAAACCCAAACTTTTTTTCCTCCTTTTTAATTGTGTGAAATCAACGTGGAGTGAAAAGGCCATGAAGAAACTTTCTGGCGCCAACTGAGTCTAAGCTGCGTCTTTGTTCTCAGCAGAGCTAAAGACCACATTAATCAGAAACTTTGCTGACCTTGTCTTTACTACCTGAAGACTGAAAGACAAAAGCAACACAGTCTGGCCACATTTAAAAATTCAATTAAAAAATGCCAGCTGCCCAGGGATAAACATTATCATAGACCTCAGTGGGGTTAGCTGTAACTGTGATAAAGGCAATGTCTTTTTCTCACTCTATTTTTATTATTTTTTCCCAAAAGAATGAAGCCTAGGTTTTGATACTCCTGATTATGACAACTGTGTATGTGGCAGAGTGTGCTCAGTGGTGGTGGGTAGCTAGTGTTGGGGCTTTTAATCAGGAGCAAAGTAAGAAATTCCTGAGAGGGATGGCAAGCTGAAAGTGGAGAAGTAAAGCTACTGAAGTGGACTTGCAGTAAAATGTCCCTGTATTCCTTTTTTTCAGACTATTATCTTTTCCTATAGCCCTGGCAAAAGCAGACCAGACAAGGGGTGAGGAGATCCTGCTCAGAGCTGGACTTGGCATCTGGAGGCAGAAGTGAGGTTAGGGGAGGGGTAACAGCACAACTTCTTCCCTAAGGATGAAACAGAGAGCCTTTCGTTGTGGCACTTGGCTGTGCCTTACTGATTTTATTATAGAAATATTAAGCAAGTAAGTGGATATCCAGTCAGCTGAGAACATGAGCAGCCAAACAGAGGGGAGAAAACCAAATGAAATCCCTTGGTGCTGACAGTGACAGGAGGAGAGGGAAAGCTCTCCCTGTCCAGTGGCAGGCCCTGGGCCAGGTGGGTACCGGTTTCAGTGCAGCAAATTAAAGAGGAGCAGGCGCATCTTCTTTAGGTTGAACATTCAGTTACATAAAGGGCCAAATTCCTCTCTCAGAACATCCTCCGGCCCCGCCAGCTCCCCCTGGTCCTCTCCTTCCCTGGCTTGCCAGCAGCCTGCCTGTAGGGCTTCCTCGAGTGCTGCACCTTTATCCACCCGCCCTCGCTGGCTCTGCTCTCCCCTTCGCCCCTCCTGGGCTCGCTCTCACCCTGTGGGGGCATGCCAGGGATGGCCGTGGGCTGCGGAGAGGTGTGGGGGTACCTGCGGTGCTGGGAGGCCGGAGGGGCCACTGGCAAAGAAGTCCTGCTGGGTCTTCCCAAGTGTCGGGGGGGCACTGGGGAGCTGGTCCCACTGCGCCGCCCGCCCGAGGAGCTGCGGGAGTTACCGCTGTGTGGGGTGTTTCTGCCTTTGCCAGCAGACCTGTCCCTCTCTGAAGCGGTGTCTGAGGCTGTGCTGGAGGCACTGCTGCCTTTTGAGTTCAGATGCAGATTCGAGAGGTTTCTCATCAAACTGTGCGAGATAGGAGAAGAGTTCCTGGAGTGGCTGATGGATGTGAACTGGTGACTGACAGGAGCGGGTGTCCTTCTGACGGCTGCAGCATAGGAGTCTTGGCTGTGAAGGTAGGGCAGGTAGTGGGTGACTGTGGTCGGGCTGTGGGGGTGGCTGTGCTGGTGAGAAACGGCTTTTGCTATCTGATGCATGCGCAGTGTCTGCATCCACTGACTGTCAATGCCTGGCAGGGAAATGGAAACAAAGTCAGCTTTCTGTAAATTGGTGGAAAACCGCTCTCAGGTTTACCAAAGGTATGAGGTTAGTACGAGGGTTTCTCTCACAAGAACCTCAATATATCTCAAACCACCCTTTCCCTCCCAGCCTTGAAGCAAATGGTCCTACGTTTGAGTATGTTCAGTGTTATGGTTGAACATAATTTTGGACTTTTAAAATAGCAAGTGATACAAGTATTTCTGATGCCAGTGCAGATTATGGAACTTAGACTAGAAGATACTTACTGAACCATCCATTTGGCTGTTCAGGTGGGTTCCCCCTCCCGATGTTTTTAACCTAATATGGGTTTAAACATATACTGTGATGCTCTTGGCAACCTCAGCAGATTTCTACACGGCTTTCTTTACAAAAGAACCTGGAGACTTCCAGAGCAGGCATAGAGCAGGCATCCCAAGGTACCAGCACCGCTGCAGCATCACCTTCCACCTTCATCTCTCCTATCCAGCACAGTGATACTGTTTGCAGCTCAGCACAGAGAGGAGGCAGAGCAGACCCAGTGCAAACCTCAGTTGTAGCAGCCAGATTTATCTCTTCTTGCTCCAATTTCTTTTCAAACTGCTACACACCACAACAACCAGAACTACTTCAGTTGTTATTGTTACTACAAATTCAGAAGTCAAACCACTTTGCATTCGGCTTCATGATGGATGCAAAAAATCATCTCTGAATGTGGAAAAGCCAGTGAGGCGGCAGACTTCAGCCAGGATAGCTCAGACAGTGCTTAACTGTGAACAACTCAGGGTATTACAGTTCCCTCTACACCTACTGTGACAGCCCTGGGGTTGTAACAAAAGTCGTCGCTCTGAGAGATCAGACTGAAGTGGTTTTGAAAGTCAGTCCTGTGGTTTCCATGAAAGCCTTTAGCAAATACAGTAGTAGTAAATTTTCCATTTGAACTGCAAAGGCTGCCTGGTTTGCTACTTTGTGGGTAGAGCAGAGACCAGGAATTCCTCTTATAAAAGGCCACAGCTCTGGCCAAAAACCCACGGGGAGCAGCTAAAATTATTTTGCTCTAGAGAGGTTTGAATGATTTGTCCTTAAATATCACTAATATCATTCCAATAGGAAAGCATAACCCTCGCTGTCTCTAGTGGAATGCTGCATTGACCATGGGGAGTTTTGTGGGAGCTGTGTAGTGGCTCTGTCCTCGTTAGGATCGCTCCTGTTAAAAATGTAATGGATGATGTCTTTCATTCCTCCTTTCCCCAGACTTTGTTTGAATCTAAAGAGATTTAAATCACTTCAACTTAATGTCAAATATGTCAAAAGGAAACTGTCTTTCATGTCATAGTGTGAGTGTGACACCAACACTGCAGACAGCTCCATCTGCACTGAGATGAACCTTCTTTCACAGAAAGACAGATGGGAGTTGCCTACTTGCTTCTTAACATCTTAAAAACTCATGGTTTCAAAAGAAACCTGCATGCTGAAACGTACTTGATAGACACTATCTCCTCTGCCATTTCCCAATGCCCTCCTATGAAGACTGTGGATGTAAGTCACAGATCTCATAAACCTGGAAGCAGCAGGCTCAGGATTCAAGTTTGGGTCTTCATTTGTTATCAATACTTGGGTGGCCATCACATGCCCCATGGGACCAGTGTCAATGCTGTCCTGAACAAGGGGCTCCCTTGAGGCTGTTCAGTCCTTGCTCCTCATAGCCAACCATGGTTGCCAGCTCAGGAACCAGCTGCCCAGCAAGGATCTGCCAGTGTGCCCTGTGGAACTGCCTCTCATGGGCTGGGGGGCTTCTTCCTCACATGGTCGCTGAGCCACCAACTCTGTACACTGAATTAAATGCTCTGTGTGTAGCCCACATAGGTAGTACCTTCATTGCTTGTTATTTTACCCTATTAGACAGGTATTACCCTTACCTTTGTGCTTGGATTTGGTGATTTTTTTTTAAACCTGGCATTTTAAACCTGCAGCTTCTGAGGCTACAATCTCAGTATGTGTCAGCACTAGCCACATCTCTTACAGGAGGTACCCTTTATCCAAACATAACATCTGTGCAAAGCTGCCTGTGTGCTGAGTGGGTAAGGGCAGGAGGGAAGAGCTGGCCAAAGCATTTCTATTGAGTTTGGGTTGCAGGGAGAGAAAGCCAGGTAAAAAGCTGATGAAAGCATTGGCTCTCCAAGTTCTCAAAACAGCTGTGGAAAACTCCATTATTCCCAACATATACAGGGTAGAGTTGGGTAGAGATGCATGAGATTGTCTCCTTTAACAGCAGATGCCTTCCTAACATCCTGGTTAAGAAACTAATCTTCACCCAAGGCCCTGCACACTTTGTGTGGGTGCCGTAATTTAGTCCAAATCCTTTTGCTATGCCAATACACTTGGCTCCACAAAGCTGAGTACTTGCTTCTCTTCGTGAAGAGGGGCAGATTTTGCAGAAGGGCAGATCTGCTAGCTGATCCCCAATCCCACAAGCAGACTATGGTGAAGAGAGGCCTGCTATCATGAAAAGGCTACTGTGGATGTGTATGCGTATCCCAGAGAGTGGAAGAAGCCTGGACCACAGGCAGAAACACCTCTCCCAATAACCTTATACACTGGAGGGGATCAAAAGGTTGAACCAAAGCTGACCCAATGACAGAGTTGAAAAAGTACTAGAATTTAAGGCTGCTTACTACTGGAAGATGTGAAGCATTCCAGGGTTGGAGCAGAAGGACCCGACCTCTATGTCTGCTGTTGATGTGCAACTGCAAGTGACTATAGCAGACAAAAGATTTGTAGCTTACCTCCATGGACTGCTTCCAGAATGCTTCCTACAGAGGCACACGGGTAATAGACAGTCCTACCAGAGGGGATGCAATAATGGATCTGATGGTCACCAACGTAAGCAAGTTAATTGGAGGCATCAAGATTGGAGGCAGCCTGGGCTGCAGTGACCATGCACTGGTGGAGTTTGCAGTCCTGAGGGATATCAGTCAGGTAAACAGTAAAGTTAGGCTCCTGAACTTCAGGAAAGCAGACTTCCAGCTCTTCAAGGAGATAGTCAATAGAAACTCTTGGGGATAAGGGAGTGGAACAGAGCTGACAGCTCTTTAAGGAAGTCTTCCACAGAGTACAAGAGTTCCCCAGGAACAAGAAACTGGGCAAGGAAGGTAGAAGACTGGCGTGTCTGAGTAGGGAACTACTGGTCAAACTAAAGGGAAAGAAGAAAATGCACAAGAAGCAGAAAGAGTAGAGAGATTAAGTTCGGTTGTGTAGGGATGCTGTGAGGAAGGCCAAGGCAAAGCTGGAATTGAACCTGGCAAGGGACGCAAAGAGTAACAAGAAGGGCTTCCACAGCTATGTTAACAAAAAAAGGAAGGTCAAAGAAGGTGTACTCCCCTGATAAACAACACTGGAAAACTGATAATAACAGATGAGGAGAAGGCTGAGGTACTCAACAACTTTTTTGCCTCAGTCTTCAGTGTCAACCTCTCTTCCCATGCCTCTTGAGTGGACTGACAGCAGGATGAGGACTGGGGGAGCAAAATGCTTCCTGATCTTTACATTAGTGGACAAGGGAAGGGCTACAGATGTCATTTATCTGGACTTCTGTAAAGCCTTTAACATGGTCCCCCACAACATCCTTCTCTATAAATTGGAGAGAGATGGATTCGATGGGTGGACTCTCAGGTAGATAAGGAATTGGCTGAATGGTTGCATCCAGATGGTAGTAGTCAACAGCTCATAGTTTCAATGGACATCAGTGACAAGTGATGTCCTGTAGGGGTCCATACTGGGACCAGTGTTATTTAATATCTTCAGTAATGACACAGACAAAGGGATCAAGTGCACCCTCTGCAAATTTGCAGGTGACACCTGCAGTTGACATGCCTGAAGGATGGGATGCCATCCAGAGGGACCTGGAAAAGCTCAAGAAGTGGGGCCATGGGAATCTCATGAGGTTTAACAAGACCAAGTGCAAAGTACTGCACCTGGATTGAGGCATCAATACAGTCTTGGGGATGAACAGATTGAGAGCAGCCCTGCTGAGAAGGACTTCGGGGTGTTGGTGGATGAGAGGCTGGACACAAGCCACCAGTGTGCACTTGCAGCCAAGAAAGCCAAACATGTCCTGGGCTGCATCAAAAGCAGTGTGGTCAGCAGACTGAGGGAGGTGATTCTGCCCCTCTACTCTGCTCTTGTGAGACCCCACCTGGAGTGCTGCATCCAGGTTTGCGGTACCCAGCATAGGAAGGACACTGGCCTGTTGGAACAAGTCCAGAGGAGGGCCTGAGAGGAAAGGCTAAAAGAATTGGGATTGTTCAGTCTGGAGAAAAGAAGGCTTCTTGATGATCTAATTGCAGCCTTCCCGTACTGGAAGGGAGCCTACAAGAAAGATGTAGAGAAACTTTTCACAAGGACACGTGGTGACAGGACAAGGAGAAATGGCTTCAAACTGAAGGAGGATAGGTTTAGATTAGATAATAGGAAGAAATTCTTTACTGTGAGGGTGGTGAGGCATTGGAACAGGCTGCCCAGAAAAGTTATGGATGTCCCATCCCTGGAAGTGTTCAAGGCCAGGTTGGATGGGGCTTTGAGCAACCTGGCCTAGTGAAAGGTGTCCCTACCCATGCAAGGAAGGTTGGTACTAGATGATCTTTAAGGTCTCTTCCAACCCAAACCATTCTGTAATTCTATGAAATCACACTGAGATATAGAACAAGTTAGTACTTAAAGTTTAGCCTTCAAGCTAAGTCGACATGCCAGGATGCATGCATCTACAAAGGCATCACAGGGACCACAATGGCAGCTGATGCTGAAAGACATGCTCTGTTGTTGGAGCACAGGAATGGTATTGACTTTTTGCTGTTCTCCTCACTTATGCCCTGCTCATGTCAACAATAAAGTTTGGATGTACTGACTTACCTGAGTCAGATCTGCTCCGCGAATTCCCCTCCGAGTTGGGGACCGAGGTCTGTATCATGAGCTGTACTGTCTCAACCTCGTCCTGTGCTTTCACCTTGCTCCAGCAGATAGCTTGGATGTGCCTGGTGCTTTTGGGAGCTCTAACATCACTCTGCTCAGGAAGGACACAACACATGTGAGGACATAACAACATACAACACACTAAGCTCTCCTAGGAGGGAACATCCATGAGTGCCTGGGCAGCAGCAGTGCTTTCAATAAAGAATCTGTTTTGCAAAACCATTTAGCCAGTTCTCAAGTATTTTTAGACTCTATATAATTTTGGCTGGTACTTCGTGATTTTGCTAAAAATATGGTAGAGAATAACTGTTTCAATTCTTGTACCATGTGGAGGAAAGATCTGAAGGCCTTCCTCTACAAACACAAAAATACATTTTACTAGTTCTATTAATGTGAACATCAAATGTGCCCTGCTAAAAGAGGGAGGACTAAGCAGGTATTTTTGCAGGGGAACCCCCAACAAAATTTTCAGGGAGTACCAAACTCTTCAGTTTGTTGTTAAGGACAACAATTTGGACCTGTTAAGGTCCAGGATTTCCATGTTTCTCCATCACTGCCTGAATACTTGTTCAGGACAGAGCTGGAATCTCAATTATTAGCCTCCTTCTGACGCACAGCATTGGTCTTTATAAAAACACACCTGTAAGTAACTGTAAACCCTTTTAACAACAGCTAATTTCTATCATATCAAAAAGTATTCCAGACTTTATTTTATCTTACTATACTCTTGATTTCTCGTTTTCTCTCTTCTCCTGTTGCTTCTCTGCTCTCCTAATTAGCACTTCACTGAAAAGATAAAAACCAGCCTCTTCAAGTAATGCAAACAACACTGACCATTACACTTCAAGAAAAAAGAGCTTTCCTCCTTGAGAAGAAGAGCCATCCCAGGCAGCAGTCTGAGGCCATTGTCTCTGTAAACTTCATTCAGCTTTTGCTCTGAACTTTCGATTGTACAATTAATTGCAGGCAGCTGAGACTTGATTATAGGATATAACAAAGCCAGAGGATGCTATTTCCACACCTCCTGCGTAGGTTTTATCTTGGATAACAATTTTATTTGTTTCTTAGAGCTTACCTCATATGTAACAACACATTCTACAGACTGGTGTTCTTCTATCCCCACAATCCATTTCTCCATTACAAACGGTGGCTGAAAAAAACATGGTAGAAGATTTATAAGGTGCTTTTCATCTCCTGCCTTGTTTTTGAAACACCCCAAAGATATTTCCAACATTTGCCTCTTTTCATCCATTAACATACTGCTATTAAAATTTTATGAGATAAAGTAATGTATTTTGGAAATATTTACTTCCTTGCTTACAAAAGGAAACTGAGAAGAGATTTCCATACGTAACAGGCAGTAGGTAAGACAATGTGGAATGTTTTCATGGGGGCATAAACCTTTTTTCAATTTTATGCATGTACAGGGGTTTTTTTTCTAGATTTACAGAGGCCAGCAAGAACAAATACCTAGAGATTCTCAGAGATATTCCTTGACAAAATTAAAAATGTTGAAATATGTGGAACATTAATGTTACTGTATCTAGTTGTTAGTTTATTTAAGTCTTTTTTTAAGGAAAAATTGAAATGTCTGAGATTAACATTAAACAGAAAACTAATAATAACAAAACCAATCATAATAATAAAAAAATCACAAGTGTTGTTCCAGAAATCACTAACAATTAAAATAGTATTAGAATGAATTAAATATTATAATCCCTGTTGGCAAATATACCTATATCACATTTCCCTTAAAATTCTGACTGTTGACAATCTGCTTTTCATTTTTTTCCTTGAGAAAAAATAACCAAAGGTTTCCCCCCCCCAGTTTTACCCCAAAAAGTCACAGTTAAAAGCATTCAAGAGTTTGGGTGTTTTTACCAGCGCACCTAGAGCAGCATAATTGGTAATCAAGCTGTATATTTTTTCAGTTAGAAATTTATTTTGCTAGTTATTACCAAGCGGAGCATATTAATAAAACCAAAAAAATTAAAAAGACAGCTACCAGAATGCTTTTTGCATTAACAAAACTTCTGCTGCTTAGGAAAAAGCGGTCTAAGCATTTGCTGGTAAATATTTACAGGGAGGTTCTGAAACAAGGTAAAATGCCTAGTGACACTGAATTGCAGATGTTCAGTGGTGTACTGTCTGCAATAGGTTTCAGTCTTTGCAACCCATTGTTGCAGGAAAGAGAGTTTTAGAAGCATGCAAAAGTTCTAAAACCATGTCAAAAAAAAAAAAAAAAAGAGAGGGAGAAAAAAA